TTTGCACTTAATTTTTTTCTAATTAATTAAACTTCATTCACAAATTGCTTATTTAACAAATTTCATCAATTAGAAAAAGATAGAACATAGATAAATGAAAATAAAATAAAAATTAAAACATTTAGCATGTATATTTGTATTGTAAATTATATTAATTATTTATAAATTATAATTCATGAAAATCAGATGATTGCTAACTGAATATTTCTCGTGGAAATTTCTCATGGACTTGTTTATCAATTAAACTAGCAGAAAGTAAAGTAGATATAAAATTTCTAAATAATAGAACTATATAAAAAAATACTGAATTATAGTTTAATAATTGCAAAATCATAAAAAAAGTAATAAAAAAATTATAGTAAAGTCAATTTAAATGTACGACACAATTATTAAATTGCATATATTTTTATACGATGGAATTTTGTATATTTGTAATATTATAAATCAGGTATATTGTGTAGTATTGTAATCAAACTATTACAAATATTATCAAAATATTATATATTAAATTTTGATTATTTGTTGTAGAGAAGTTTCTTAACTATAGCTAATTATGAATTACATCATGCCCATTATTTTTGATTAGAAAAATTTCATTCAATAACAAATATATACTTACATATGAAGTAGTTCATATATAATGAACTTCAAAAAATATAAAATCTATTCTGTAACTTTTATGCATATTCAAATTTTCGATTGTATAATATATAAGCCTCTTGAAAAAATTTCAAATGATTTTGCTTTAGAATAAGTGTCATGAATTATATTTATTTAAATTATTTCAAAGTATTTAAATTATTTCAAAATAAAATACAATGAAAACTACTTTAATATATACAAACAAATATGTCTGATATGAGAATGTTGCAGAATTTATTTTGTATCAATTATATATATTTTATGTTTCATTTATTTGTCATAAGTGGAAGATGTTCAGATAATTATATAATATTAATATTATAATGTTAACATATTCATGGAATATTTTCAGAGAATCAAAATAAATATAAAAATTAATATGTATTATAAATAATGTATTATAAACAAAAATGTCAATTCAGATTTATTTATTAAGTTATAATTCAAATTTACGTTAAATGATTAAAATCTATTAAAATCTATTAAAATCTATAATTAAGATCTATCTTTGTTATATTATCGCATTATCTCGTTTCATCGCCTTGTTTTATCTAACACAAACTTAAATTGTTTATAATTAATATAATTAGTATAATAAGTTTCAATTAATATTTTTGTATATTAAATTTTCTTTGTTTTGATTTTTAAAATCGATCTTTCAAAGAGATTTTATATATATAATAATATATAAAATATTATATATTATTATATATTTATAATTATAAAAAAATATATATATAATATAATATAATATAAATATATATAATATAATATATATATAAATATATATATTATAAAAAATATTTATAATAACTAGATAAACATTAGATTTACGAACATTGACTATATACCTTCTTTTTACTGAAATTCATTTTTTTGACGTATATATTAAATTGCAATTTTTTTTTGTAAATTATTTATTTTAAATCTATAGATTTTTATACATTTATACTTTATACATTTTTTACATGTAAACTTTATCTTGGATGTACACTTTCCGCATATATATTTGTTAGATTTAATGCAAATATAGTTAAATCCCAGATAATGAATTGAAGTTGCTATTTTGTTTGTCGTGATGATCACTGCCCAATTCTTGAGTTAATTGAAAGAAAAAATTCTTTCGAAATATGTTTATTCCAATGATTTCTTTGTACAATATCCAGGCATTGATGGTTGTCAAATCTAAAAACAATTATAAAATATGTGAAGGAGCCATCTACGAGATCCTGCTTTCACAATATTTTCTTCATTATCAGCATTTTTTAACTTTCGCTTTTAGTATCTAAAATAATATACATTCTTTTTTTTTTACGATATGTATTGTGATAATTTTCATTATCCCTGTCGTTAGAATCTTCAATTTCGTTGATATTGTTAAATTCTTCCTCACTTTCGTATAATTCGTTTATATCAGAATCCGATCCAGATTGATCTTCATTTATGCTGGTTATTTTTTTTATTCTTTTTATTATTCTTTTTTATCAATTCAATATCTTTTAAAGACTTGCTCATAATAGGTATTATTAAACCCTTAGTTAAATAGGTAAAATATAAATGTAATGTAAAAAATATTTTTTTTTGGGTAGGTTTTGAAAATACTTTGAAAAATTTAAATCTTCATTTATAAAAATAAATTTTTGCTAATCTTCCAAATAGCACTTATTTTTTTCAAAACGCACTGTTGAAATTATCTCTCACGTGTTTTATTATCAATTTGTTTTATAAAATAATAAGACAGATTCATTTACAAAAATCTTTTCTCTGCAAAATTCATCGTTAAAGGGATTATTTGTTATCATTTCACAATTGTAAACAATTTTGATCATGTATTTATTGTTAAACAATCATTATTTGCTTGGTATTCATTGTTATTTCATTTTTGTTATTTCGCAATAATTGATCTATATAAATTAACTCGTCAAATTGAGGGATTTTTGTAAATATAGATATACAATATCTAGAAATAATAAAATATAAATTCCAGAGAAAACGAGTAGAAATATATATTTACTGCATTACATCATTAAAAACCAATATGTAATGTCTAAAGAATAATATTTGCATGTTTAAAATTTTTAAGCATAAAATCGAAAATCCATCAAATTGACGGATTCGGTAAATCTAGTAATATATATATTCTATATGTCTCAAACATTTGTTCAATATTTTAAGATACTTTGTATATTAAACCTAAATATATTCTATATATTTTCAAAATTTTATAATTTTTTTTAATAATTATTAAAATTAATTAATAATCTGAATTGAAAGAAATTTCTTTTAAGTGAATCATAATTTTTTAAAGTTTTTCACAAATTGTAATGTATTTCTCAGAAATGAAAAATAAATATATAAATGTATTTATTATAGTTAAAGATAAAATAAAAAATGTTTTTACATTATATAAATTTTTATAATATTATGTATATTTCTTTATTTCTCTGTAATAAAAAGAATTATCTGACTTATACTTATTTACTATATTTCGAATAAATAATATAATTGTGTATCTAATATAATTTACGATTTGATATATTATTAATATATCTACTATAATCATTTTACTTTTAAAATAGCATTATTTAGGAAAATATTCTAAATTTACACAATAATATAAATATATTTATTCTTATTATTGTCAAATTTTAATAAATTTGCAATTGTTTAACATTATATAAATTACACATTTTTTAAATGATTCCCAAAGCAATTGAACTATTAAAATGATTTGAACTATATTTTTATATATGTATGTATATTTAAATCTTCTTTAAAATTTTTAATTGTAACAGAAAATCTTTGAATTAAATCATTATGTTATGTAACACAATAATCGTGATGAAATATTACATTCTTCTCAACTATTAATTAACATATTTTTATTTAGATATAAAATTTATTATATTTTTTTATTATAAAAACTTTATATAATTTTATTCTATATAATTATAACTCTATATAATTATAAAAACTCTATAAAATTTATTATATTTTTTTATTATAAAAACTCTATTAATTAGTATATTTTTATTTACATATAAAATTTATTATTATAAATAAATATAAATATCTTTATATATGTATTGGTTCATAATATTTCAATATAATAAATCAATATCAACATTGTAATACGATTTCCAAATTTTAATATATGGATTTTCATATTTTAATGCTGTTATTGTTTGAGCAATTCATTTTTGTAAATCCAATATTAAGAAATTCTATTAGAATAAATTTTATTTATTCTTGTTTAAATAAATCATTTAACTAATTCAATTTTGTTACATTCTTTTTTATATTGTATGTATTGGATGAAAGATGCTTTAATACATTATTTATGTTTTGAATTGAATTTTATAATCAGTTTTTTTTAAAAAAGAAAATAATTTAAATAAAAATCTATATTATTTCGAATATTATTACATACAACAAAAAAAATAAAAAAAATAATTTTTTATTTGAAAAATTTTTATTGTTTCTTATATAATAAATTTTAGAAATTTTTTATTATTTTTTCAGAATGGTGTCAACATATTTAGTCCATCACGGTTATTGTGCTACTGCCGAGGCATTTGCCAATAGTACTGGTCAAGGATTTGAAGAAGATCTTAATTCTATTAAAAATAGACAAAGTAAGTACATAATAATCATTTTCAATATTTTTTATTAATTTATATAATTAAAAAAATAATCGCATTGAACTAATAAATTGAATATTTTTTATTAAAACTATTTGATATAATAGATTCATTGTGATATAATAAATAAAATAGATATATTTAATACATTTTAAAAATTAATTATACTAAAATTTTTTAATACAAAATGATACAAAGAATTTTATTTTATTAAAAATTATCAAAAATATATATATATATATAATTTTGATAATTGTATATATTATATATTTTTCTTTATTATTAATTATATATATAAAATATTATATGTAATATATATAACATTTTTTATTTCAGAAATTTTGAAATTGGTATTGGCAGGCAGAATGGGGGAAGCAATAGAGTTAACCAGTCGATTATATCCAGGTCTTCTCGAACGAGATCCAAATCTTCTTTTTGCTCTTAAATGTCGACAATTTGTTGAAATGGTGAATGGTAGTGATTCCGAAATTACTCAAAATTCCAATATTAATCAAACTAGTGTTATACAGTCTACGAAGGCTTATACGAAATCCTCAATGAATAGCAACATCGAGGAAATGAATATGAACAACGCTATGAATGGTTCTACTGAACAACAGTTAGTTAATGGACAAATTGAAAATGATGTAGATATGGAAGAAAATGTCATAAATGGCATGAAAAGTAATACTGAAAATGGTTATCAAAATAACGATTTGAATACCAATGGATACAAATGTCAAAATGGAGAAGATGTCGACATGGGTGAGATATTATTGAGTTATTTTTATTAATCGCGTTTATTAAATTGTTAAAAGAAATTAAGAAGTGATAAATTTTTCGAAAAATTGAGATAGATTAAAAATTCTATAATCTGAAACTTCACAAAATAATTTTTTTTTTCTTTAAATAACCCATTTGTTATTCAAACGCATTGTTTAAAAGATATTCTTCTAAACATATAAGACATTTAAATTTAATCAATGTTTTCATTTATTTTATTAATAAATCAAGAAAATCTCTATAATATTTTATTTATCTTTTTATTTTGAAAATTATAAGAATTCTTAAGAATATATATATTTAGAATATTATTTTATAAATGGTGATATAAATATTCAATTATTTGTGAAATTTAAGCAGAAATAAATAATTTTAAATAACAATTTTTGTTAAATATTATTTAAAATATAATTTTAAAATGATTTCTAAAATAAATTTTGATATGTCACCAGAAACCAACAATGTTAGTCAAATTCAACAACAAAATGGTAATTGTAATATGGAGAATATATCGAATAAGAATAACAAAAAACAACTTTGTGGCGGTGATAAACAGGCAATTGAAAAAATGTTGGAATTTGGAAGACAATTATATTCTCAATCGATACATTTGCGACAACAACATGGAAAAAATGAAAGCAATAAAAAGATGCTTCAAGATGCATTCAGTCTTCTAGCTTATGCAAATCCATGGAATTCACCAGTTGGTTGGCAACTTGATCCTCAACAAAGGGAAACTGTTTGTGCAAGACTTAATTCTGCCATACTCGGTAAGCGAATCATTATAATTTATTGATTATATTGTATTTATTTGCATATGTAACATAGAAGGGCAAGGTAACATTATAGAATAAAATAAATTATGAAATTATTTGCAAAATTTTTGCTTATATTTATTTAATTATTGTTTTCATGATAAAATCATTTTTTTAAAAATCATTTACATTTTAATAAATTATAATATATTAATAAATTATAATAATTTTTAAAATGAAATTTTAAAAAAACATAATTAAAAATATTTAATCAAAAATATAATTACTAATTAAATTTAAAAAAAAAATAACAAATGATTTATTTATTTTTTTATCTTTTATTTAGGATAGCAATATGACATATTGAAATTTTATAAGATAACAATTATTTACTATGTATTTGAATAAAAAAGTAAAATTATATGTAAATAAACAATTCTAAAATTTTTATATTAATTTAATTCAATATTAATTCATATTTTTATTTTAATTAATCAATTTTTTAATAATTTTCTAGTTTAAATTATAATAAATCTTTTGTGATGAAATGATTTTTTACTTAGATCTTAATAATTATTTATTTTATTAAATGAAATTATTTTATTGAATTATTCAATCATTCTTCTTTAAATATCTCATTACTATTTATATCTTATTTATTATTTTCTAATCTCTTTGATTTAACATTTTTGTAATTTTTAATTTCTATTATTAATTTCTATTAATTTCTATTATTTTAATCATAATAATTCATATTATTCTATTATTTTAATCATATATGGAAATTATTTGATTATTTTATATCTAATTTCTCAGTTTTTTTTAAACTCTAAAAAACTATTTGATTATTCACAATTTTAAATTTTTATTAATAATAATCAATTTATTAATTATTTACTATTTATATTAATTTACTATCAATTTTTTTAATTTGATTATATTGTATTATATTTTATCTATAATTTTTAATTTATATTCAAATATTATTATATAATTTATATTAATTATTTTATTAAATTATTTTTCTATATGTTTTATAATCTATATGAATATAAGTATTTTATAGTGANATAAATACATAATTAAATATATAATCAATTTTGTTTTCTTTTTGAAATTATATAATTTTTTAAAAATGAAGAATGATGATTTTTCACGAGCAATTCATTGAAATAATTTTGCCATTACATTTAATTTATTGTTAAATATTAAAAAATATTTTGATGAAAAATTCTAATGTTGCAAAAAAAATTATAATTTTGCAATACAAATAATATGTAAATAATATTAGTACTCATTTGTTCATATTTTTTTATAATATATCTTTCATATAATAAATGTTAAAAAATTTCAAAATTTAAACTAATAATTTTTTTGTTAAAAATATATTAATATTTTTCATAAATAACAAATTATTGAAATATAATTAAGAAAGAAAATTATATATTGTTTCGAATTATTTAATTTTTATTTTTAAAAATACTTTAATATTATTCAAAATAAAAGAAGATATTTTTTCAAATGAATCTATCTTGTTTGTGTTTTGAAGTTTATATAACTATAAATCTTTATTACTAAAAATATATATTTATTAATATTTTAAAGAATGCTAACATATATACTTATATTTAAATATAATTATGATTTATTTCTAAAATATATAGTGAATTTTATAATAATAGTAATAGTATATTATATAATATATTAGTAATATATTAGTAATAGTAATTTTTGAAAATACAAAATTCTTACAAAAAATCTTTCATCAATAGTTGTACATCCATATTTATTTACATCCATATTATTTTTAAGAAAAAAATATATATTATTTTTATTATTTTATATCACTTTTTAAATAAATAATATAATTTTATAATTGAAAACATTCTATATTTTGTAATTGAATGGAAAATCATACTTTTAGAATCGAGTAATTTACCTCGACGACCACCTTTGGAAGTGGCCGCGTCTCATGCAAGAGAACTGGTACGATTGATGTCTCATGCTGGTCTTGGGGCATGCGGTTTCGCGGTCGTAGACAATATCATTCAATATTGACGATGCCTACCTCTGCTGCCACGTCTGCTTCTTCTGCCGGCTCGAGTTTGGTTAGTAATTCTCTTATGCGTATATTACGCATTGATTAGGAGAAGCTGGGGATAGTTGATACGCACATTACCATATGTTATAGAAATTGTCCTATAACAACCGCGATTTGTAGTCTTATAGTTCTATATCACTGAAGAAAAAGAGAAAAAAAAACAAAAGTCCTATGTCATTTTTAAAATAATAAAATCAATATCTTTGTAATAAGAAAATCATATATTATGGCTCAAATAAATATTTAATTTTATTTATTTTATTTTTATTCATAATAAAATATTTGTTTTCTGTAAATTGAATAAAGCATTTTGATTTTCGATCATTGATCTGATTTTGATCATTTCAAAAATCAGTTCTTTTCATTGTTTTTATCTTATTTTATTTTATTTTCATTCTTATTCTATTATGTTTTCTAATTGAATTGATTCTCTATTTTCTCTGATGATTTTTGCAAATAATTTTATTGAACATGATATCTTGTTTATTTTATTATAATTTTCTTTTGTAATTAAGGCACAGTTTTCATACGAACATTAAAAAAAAAAAAAAAGAAAAAAACGAACAACGAACGTTATATCCATCTTTTAATATATCATAGCATGTTGTAAAATATGCTGTAAATGTTATGTTGTAAAATAAAAAAAATAAATAGATATAATTCATGTAACAGCTTCAATGCCTTACAAAATGCAATGTTATAATGCAAATGTTAAAAAATGGAAATTATGTTTTTCAATGATCGTATGATCCTAAACTAAAATCCTAAATTAAAATAAATATTGAAATATTGATATTATTTCTTGCTGATTAAATTGATTTGAATGATAGTCTACTATGTTTTGTTTCTTGAAGTTTTGTAATGAAATTTTTGAATGACAATAATAAATTTATTAAATTGTTATAATTGATATTGTTATTATTATATATATATGAAAAGAGGCTGATTATAATTATAAATCATGTAATTTTATCATATGTAATAATTTGTGAAAATTGCTAAATAATTAATATTTTTAATGTATCAATTATCCCTAAATTCTTAACGGAAGATTTTTTGCATATTTGTATATTTTTTATTTCCAATATAGATAATGATTCTATATAATTTATAATCATTTACATCTATCTTGTAATGAGAATGAAAGAATGCATGATTCTTTAATAGAGTGTATGACTCATTATGTAATCTAATTCTTAATTTTTCTAATATAATTGTTACATATATTTGATTTTATATATATTTTTCTAAAATTATATGAGATTTTAAAATATATTGTCTTATTAAATCTTTTAATACCTTAATGTAATATTATTTTATGTATTTTTATGTGTTAAAAAAGTCAAAAATGCATTTTTTTTTTAATTTTCTATATTCATAAGTGGTGCTGCAATTAGAAATTAAAATATATAAATATGAAATTTTTTTACATGAATTAGAGTTTTATCTCTGTACCTGCGATAATAATGCAATACAATGTAAATATAATATAAATATAATTTTGTAATTAAATACATTATGAAATTTTTTTTCTCTTGAAGGAATTGTGTATCAGTTAATAAATTCTGATTGAAAAATTTTTAATTCGTATAAATAAAATTATTGCAATATTCAACATTAAAGAATGAATTTTGAAATATTATGTTTGTGTATATTTTCAAAATTATATATTTCTAGTTTTTTTCTAATATTTTATTTATATAATATGTTAATTGATTATAAGAAAATGTGAATGATTTTTTCAAAATTTTATTTACAATTTATTATAAAGTAATTTATACATTAATAATTTTTACAATATTTTTTTAGTAATTTATACAATAATTTTTACTCATTATAAAAAAGATAGGTTAAAATATATTTTAATGATTAAATTTTAAATTTTATTAGTTTTTTAATTTGATATTAATTATTACATTTATTTACATCTAATTTTTCTAAACGATTAGAGAGAAACTAAATTTGAATAGAAACATTTCCACGATTTTTTTTATGAATTATCAGTTAGTTAAAATATTCAAATTATTTAAATTAATTATTGTTTGGATTAAAGATAGTAAATTTTAAGATTTTGATTTTGCTTTTTTATTGTGTTATTATTGTCATATTAATGAAAATAAAATAATTTTTTTGTTACAAAATGAAATCATTATATATCTATATATTAGAAATTAAAATTATATTTTTTTAAATTTTATGTAAAAAAAAAAAACGAGAAGAAAAATATAACAATAAAATAAAACATAACAACAGAAATACTTTATTTACTTAAATATTACTTAAATATGTTATTGTAAATAACAATTTATAATATATAATAATAATATATTAATAATATATAATGTATA